GGTATAGTATAGGGGGTACCTTGCTCAATAGTAGTAACTGTGAGAGGGATCTCGGAGTCCTAGTGGACAATCATTTAAATATGAGCCAGCAGTGTGCTGCAGCTGCCAAAAAAGCCAACACAGTGCTAGGCTCCATTAACAGAGGGATAGAATCAAGATCACGCGAAGTATTAATACCACTTTACAATGCCTTGGTATGGCCACACTTGGAATACTCCATCCAGTTTTGGTCACCACGATGTAAAAAAGATGTTGAGACTCTAGAAAGAGTACAGAGAAGAGCAACAAAGATGATTAGGGGACTGGAGGTTAAAACATATAAGGAAAGGTTGATGGAATTGGGTATGTCTAGTTTAATGAAGAAAAGGACGAGGGGGGACATGATAGCAGTGTTCCAATATCTAAGGGGTCACCACAAAGAAGAGGGAGTCAAGCTATTTCCAAACCACCTGAAAGGCAGGACAAGAAGCAACGGATGGAAACTAATCAAGGAGAGAAACAACCTAGAACTAAGGAGAAACTTCCTGACAGAACAATTAACCAGTGGAACAACCTGCCTCCAGAAGCAGTGAATGCTCCAACACTGGAGGTTTTTAAGAAGAGACTGGACAGCCATTTGTCAGAAATGGTATAGGGTTTCCTGCCTGAGCAGGGGGTTGGACTAGATGACCTCCAAGGTCCCTTCCAACTTTATTATTACTATTACTATTACTGTTACTGTTACTGTTGTTTGTTGTTGTTGTTGTTGTTGTTGTTATTATTATTATTATTATATCAGCCTTTCAAACACTGGTAGTAAAGGCTCTCATTTTACACATAAGAGATCTAGTAACAACATTAGCAGAGGTGGTGTGAAATCCCACAGCCCTGAAATGCATAGATGGGGGTGAGGTCTGGGGAGGGGGAGAGAAAGTTTCTCTGGTTTGAGGGAAGCGGAGCAGAAGACGCAGGTGTACAGTGTACCTGCAAACAAACCCTTGGCCGCGCCCCAATTCCTCAGGTAAGTCGCCAGCCCAGCGAACCAGTAAGCGAGCCAAGGGCAGGAAAAAGCTCGGAGAGAGCCGGGTGAGCAATGCTGGAGCGGAAAATGAATCCTAGTTTGGCCTCCCCTGCCCCAGAGCACTCTTGTTTACCCCATACTCGCCCTTTTGAGAACAGATGTTCTTCTCACTTTAAAAAGAGAGCAACATTGACCCTTTTTTTTACCACCCACCCCGGGCTTCAGCTATGCAAACAAGGGAAGGCTCCGAGGAAACAGGCTTCGGATGGACGTTTGCCGGGGTGCGGCCTTCCTACCGATTCCCCCCCCCTCTCCCCCGGAGTTGCTATCAGCCTCGCCCCTCGCCTAGCTTCGCAGCAGAGAAGCAAAGCCTCCGGAAGTTGCCCATTGTGCTGGCCCAGCAACTTTGGCCCTGCTCTAAGATGCTCCCTCTCGCTTGGTGGGAGGGGGAAGCGAGCAAGGGCATTCACGCCTCTTTGGAGAAGAAATGCACGCGGGAATGAACCCCTCTCCCAATTCTCTGGAGGAAATGTTTAATTCCGGACCGGCAGTATTAGGGAAGAGGGGCGTGTCTTATAAAGTCAATCGCCTTAGCCAAATACAAAACGAGTCCTCTGCAGCAATTTATTTATTTTTTTCCCGAACGGGGGATTTTATTATTATTATTATTATTATTATTTTTGCAGATCAGGGAGATTTTCGTGCTAATTAAAGCCACGAGGAAATAAAAGAAATCCTGACTTCGGTTGTTGTTCTTTTGCTGGCGGCTTGCAGCATTTTTACCATTCCCTTGGTAAATGTTGCACGCTCATCAAATTCGCTCCGCAGCGGGCCAAAATTCCTGACTCTCTCAGCCTCGGCTTGCCTCCTGCCGAAATGTGCATTTGAGTTGCGCCGTTATTTCGTTCAGACCGGGGAAGGGGGGGGGTGTGGATGTTTGACGTATTGTGTGACATTTGTTCAGAGGGAATAGGTGACTGTTTTTAAGCGAGTTTTCACGTCGTGCAGCGTCCGTTTCCCTTCTCCTTTTCCTTCGATCTTAACTCTCTCTCTTCCCCCCACCCCACCCCCCCACGCGCCCAAGTGATGAATGGGGAACTGTTCGGTCTCTTTGTCTGGAAGATGCAAACAGACTTGGGATGCTGAGCAGAGGAGGGGGGGGGTGAGAATTACCTCATCCTATGCGCCCGGAGCCAATCGCCGTTCTCCTCTCTTGCCTTCTCCTGGCAGATTGGGGGGTCTCGACCAACCGCAAAAAGCCTTCGCCCGTCCCCATGGTGACGGGATTGTATATAGGCAGCCGCCTTAGACTATGTGCTATAGGTTCTCTTACATCGACCTCCTAAGAGTCGCGCTGTAAGAAAGCACCCGCCTCTCTCCGGTTCGAGTTCCCCAAGCTCGGCGACAAAAGCAGCAACTATGGTAAGTGCCCGCGGCGGGTCTGCAAAGAGAGGAAGCCGGTGTGGGGGGGGGGAAACACCCGCAAGGCGTGTCGATGACCCCGGTGGCCCCTCCCGTGCGCATTTAGACAGATCTCCCCTGTTCCTCCTTTCTCCCTGCTGGGTCTCTCTCTCTCTCTGCTTCTTCCCGCGCCTCTATGGCGGGTCTTTGTTTTCCCGGTCAGTTAAGCCGTGCGTCACTTAAAGAGGCTCGGGAGACCTGTGCAAATGCCGGGAAAAGTACCCCTCCTCCATTTCCAACGCCCCAAAGATGGTCTTCTCCCTTAACCGGCGGCAGGAGCCCACCTGCTGGAACAAGGGCTTCTGGAGAGGTAGTGGAAGACACGGGTGGCTCCCTGCCCGCCTCGGGATCGCTAATTTCGGCTCCCCCCGCCCAGCCTTTTCTGCTGCAGAGGGGGGGGGGCGCTTCAGACGAGGGATGACCGGGAGCGAATGAGGAACCGTTTGCCCTTAAGGCTGCTCTCCTTTTAGGGAAAGAAATCTCCTTGGGTGGTGGTTCTTACTTCCAAGGTCAGGGTGTCTCAACCGGGGTCTGCCAGTACTGGTTTTAAAACAAAGAGTCTAGGTCAGGGGCAGGCAACCTTGGCTCTTTTATGACTCGTGGACTTCAACTCCCAGAATTCCTGAGCCAGCATAGCTGGCTCAGGAATTCTGGGAGTTGAAGTCCACGAGTCATAAAAGAGCCAAGGTTGCCTACCCTTGGTTCTAGCTTGATCCCTTTCGAAACGCGTTCTTTGCATTCTTTAACAAAAAAATCGCCCTGAAATGATTGAAGCCAGCAGGAGAACGCAGCTCAAAATGCCGCGGCCGGTTACAGCATCGCCCCATTCATTAATCGGGAGGAAAGGCGTCACCAAATCGGGCGATGGGAACTTTTCCAGGAGGAGGTTGGAGCTCGCCCTGAGAAAGCCGTGCGTCTGAATGGGAGGGTCGGTGTCGTGGACTGCGGCTCGACCTGCCTTTTATATCTGGAGTTAAAGGTCGTTGAATTCAAAGGGGGTCGCACAGGGGGACATTCTGGCCACTCTGGAGGAGGTCTCGGCGCCGCGATTAATAATAATAATAATAATAATAATAGTAAAGTTGGAAGGGACCTTGGAAGTCATCTAGCCCAACCCCCTGCTCAGGCAGGAAACCCTATACCATTTCGGACAAATGGCTGTCCAGTCTCTTCTTAAAAACCTCCAGTGTTGGAGCATTCACCGCTTCTGGAGGCAGGTTGTTCCACTGGTTAATTGTTCTAACTGTCAGGAAGTTTCTCCTTAGTTCTAGGTTGTTTCTCTCCTCTTGAAACAGCGGGGATCATCATCTGGGCTGGAGATGCCACGCCCTTTCGGGCTCTAAGAAACCCTGCCTAAAACGGAGCATTGTTCCAGCATCTGCGGCAGCCGAGAGAGACACTGCCCAGTATCCCAGACTGACTGCAGGGCAGAAAAAAAGCAGATCCCTCCCCTTAGAGCAGCCGTGCCCTGCAGCAGATTGGTCTGTCAATGAATAGAAGGCAGAAGGTGCTGGCTGAGGGAGCAGACAAAGAGTCTCCTCTGGCAGATGTGACCAGAATAATGAGTGGGAGACAATGCTTTTCAAGGGTCGCTCTTGCGGCTTGCTCTTTTCAACAAGTCCTCCCCGATGGCTGAACATTCTTTTTAGGAAGGTTTTCTAGCAGCCTATTTTTAATCCTTGCTGCAATATATTAGGAATTAAGATTTCTCGTCCTGTAAAACCCTTAATGTTGGGTATCTGGAGGGAAGGGGAAGATTGGTCGATGCACAATTTTACCCGTGCCCAATACCTCACGCATACTTTAGGGTTTGATTTGAGAGCTTTATCTTCTAGTCCAGCCACCCCGTGGATTTAGTTCATTTTTCCCAAGCATGGTTCTCAGCAGAGCTGTGGTCAGAAGAAGGGAAACTGGCAAAACAGTATAAATGAGATCATGCAGCAATGACTCCAGCTGTGTTAATCCAGGGCAGTGCATGTGCGTGACACATGCACACACACACAGGCTGTTGCCAGAAAAACCAGGGCTAGCTTTATGTTGAAGAGCATCTACCCAGTGTTCTTGGCCAGGGTGTGGCATTCTTTGGCAGTCCGTGGTTGAATTCAACCCTCTCATATGATAGAATGTCCTTCAGAACAATAAAATGAGAGAATAACTCAGGCTGAGGCAAATTCAAATAAGAAAATAAAGGTATGTTAGAACCAGACTAATTACAGGCTTATTTTTTATTTTATTCTTAAATTGAGGGATTTGATAGGTTTCCCCCCTTTTTGTCTCCCTAGATCCCATTTGAAACTGGTTTGTTTTTAAGCAGGAACTAACAGCTGTGGTAACTGTTTTTAATTTTACTTGTGAACATCCCCGCACACTATAGGTATGTAAATCCTTATTCCCATATGCCACCACCAGCAATGACAGATTGAATTACTCATTACATTGAACCTTTATTGTCATTTTTAGACAGACAGACAGACAGATAGATAATCTTCTGTTTTCTTAGGCAGAATATACCAATATATAAACCGGTTTATGTATTTTTTTAAACATTTAGCGTGAGTGCATCTCCATCCATGTTGGCCAAGCCGGTGTCCAGATTGGCAATGCCTGCTGGGAGCTCTACTGTCTTGAACATGGTATCCAGCCAGATGGGCAGATGCCCAGCGACAAGACCATTGGGGGAGGAGATGACTCCTTCAACACCTTCTTCAGTGAGACTGGAGCTGGCAAACACGTCCCCAGGGCTGTGTTTGTGGATTTGGAGCCAACAGTTATTGGTGAGTGTAAATTTCAAATTGCCCAGCTGACTATGTCCAACTTTTCCTATACTCTAGGACAGGGGTGTCAAACTGCCAGCCCGTGGGCCGGTTTCATCATACCTGAGCCGTGCCCACCCCATTGCCAGCAATGGCAAAAAAGCTCCGATATGTTGCGCGATGTCACGTGACGTTGCGAGTTTGACATGTCTGCTCTAGGAAAAGGTAAGAGTTACATAGTGGGGATTTGTCTTTACTATGATAAAAACATTTCTAGCATCTAATAAATTTCCTAATTCACACAGAGAGAGGGCAGAGCATCCACATTTAATTTAAACCTTTATTTGGCACATAACATAATTAAGCATGCATTTGAATATGAATAGCAAAAGTATCGGTGACAACCAATAAGGTCAAAGGAATAATGTTAATTCACAAAAGAAAATCTTAGAGATATAACTCCCAGGTGGGTAATTGAATTGCGTCTTCTGATAGGAAAGTAATTTTGTTTTGGCTGTCCATAGATGAAGTGCGCACTGGAACCTACCGCCAGCTCTTCCACCCCGAGCAACTGATCACTGGCAAAGAAGATGCTGCTAACAACTATGCCAGGGGGCATTACACCATTGGAAAAGAGATCATTGACTTGGTCCTTGACAGGATACGCAAATTGGTAACTATTTTGTCTTAAGGATGATCTATAATACATAGAATAGAAAACAAGCAACAATGACTTATCTAATTCTGATGAGTATCATCCCAAACTATTATGACCAACAAAAATACTTGACTAAGCTGCAGCATACTTCCTATATAGTAATTATTATGGATAAATATTAGAATTTGTAACATGATTGGAAGATAGTAAGATAACAATTAACAAGCTGATTAATTGATAACTTAAAAAAATAAAGACAAAAAGATTTAGTTTTATGTATATTCTTTAGATGATTATTAATGGAATTATATATGTTAACTTTTATTTGTTCTTTCAGGCTGACCAGTGCACAGGTCTCCAGGGTTTTCTGGTCTTCCACAGCTTTGGTGGTGGCACTGGCTCTGGCTTTACTTCCTTGTTGATGGAGCGCCTGTCCGTTGACTATGGCAAAAAGTCCAAGCTGGAGTTCTCCATCTATCCAGCTCCCCAAGTATCCACAGCTGTCGTTGAGCCCTACAACTCCATCCTAACCACCCACACCACCCTGGAGCACTCCGACTGTGCCTTCATGGTAGACAATGAAGCCATCTATGACATTTGCCGACGGAACCTTGACATTGAGCGCCCCACCTACACCAATTTGAACAGGTTGATAGGCCAGATCGTGTCCTCCATCACAGCCTCCCTGCGATTTGATGGTGCCCTGAATGTAGATCTGACAGAATTCCAGACCAACTTGGTGCCCTACCCCCGAATCCACTTCCCTCTGGCGACCTATGCCCCGGTTATCTCTGCTGAAAAAGCCTACCATGAGCAGCTTTCTGTAGCAGAGATCACTAATGCTTGCTTTGAGCCAGCTAATCAGATGGTGAAATGCGACCCTCGTCACGGTAAATACATGGCCTGCTGCCTGTTGTACCGTGGTGATGTTGTTCCCAAAGATGTCAATGCTGCTATTGCCACCATCAAGACCAAGCGTACCATCCAGTTTGTGGACTGGTGCCCCACCGGTTTCAAGGTTGGTATCAACTACCAGCCCCCTACCGTGGTCCCCGGAGGTGACCTGGCCAAAGTGCAGCGTGCGGTCTGCATGCTGAGCAACACCACGGCCATTGCTGAGGCCTGGGCCCGCCTGGACCACAAGTTTGACCTGATGTATGCCAAGCGTGCCTTTGTCCACTGGTACGTTGGGGAAGGGATGGAAGAAGGGGAGTTCTCAGAGGCTCGGGAGGACATGGCTGCTCTGGAGAAGGATTACGAAGAAGTGGGTGTGGATTCTGTTGAAGGAGAGGGTGAAGAGGAAGGAGAGGAATACTAAAGCAAAATGTCACAATGGTGCTGCTCATACAGGGAATATTAAACTATTTAACATTCAGGTTTTGGTCTGATCGGTTAATTTGTGATATTTCGATACCATTGTTATCCCTAAAATAACTGATCTGTGCTTTAAAACATGAAATGTTACAAGCCCAAACCATCCACCAAGGTTTTGGATTTGTGAATAAAAGGCATTCCCTGTCCTAGAAATGAGTGTCTTGTGTGTCTATTTTCAATAATATGTTGCATATTCCTATGTTGTGGTAAGATACTGACCGTGGTCATATTTTTACATTATGCCAGAAAAAGCACTACACTACCACAACAACAGTATAGATTAGTGTGTTCGGCCTGGAAGGGCAACTCCTGCCCCCAAAATTAAGTACATAAATGTAACATGACATAGTTGTCCCAAAGTGTCTGGAAACACCCCATTATTTAAGGGCTGAAACATATGAGCCAACTAAATTGGGAAGTTAAAAAATCTTGGAAGATGATAAGAGCAAACCACTCCCTTATTATTGACATGTAGAGATAGTTTGTGTGGTTGAGCTCAGATCAAAATGTTCTGCAGCTTAGTTGGCCAGAATGACAATCTCTCCTTCCACAATCTATGCCATATTTTACTTGATACTACAGAAAAATTCCAAAATGACATTAAAGGCAATGTTCTCTGACACACCTTTAATTTTAGAGGGATAGGTTAGGTTTTTTTTTCTGGAGAGGAAGAACTGTAATTATATGAGATACTTTTTATACACCAATTTCAAGATAAAACAAAAAACAAAGTTATGTCTTTTCTTGCAAAAATCAACTGATTTGTTTCAAAAAAGTCGAACTGCAGTCCTAAATTCATTTATTTGGGAACAAATTCCTCTGAATTTATTAGGGTTTCTTTCTGATTGTATATGTTTATTTATTAATATGTTGCCCATCTCACCATCCAAAGAGTGTATACACTATATATATAGTGTCCTGCTATAACTCGGTAAAACCCCAATAATTTTGTTCTTGAGTCTCAGACATAGGAGTAAATAATTCACATATTTTATAAAATAAGAGGTAAAGAGATGGCTGTAAAATTAGGTAGCTGTACAGGTAGTCCTCAACTTACAACAGTTTATTTAGTGACTATTTGAAGTTACAATAGCACTGAAAAAAGTGACTTATGACAATTTTTCACTCTTATGACCATTGCAGCATCCGCTGTATTCAGATGCAGATTTACATTCAGATGCTTGACAATTGACCCATACTTATGATGGCTGCAGTCCCGGAGTCATGTGATACCCTTTTGTGCCTTTCTGACAAGCAAAGTCAATGGGGAAACCAGATTTGCTTAATAGCCATGTTACTAATTTAAGAATTGCAGTGATTCACTTAACAAATTAGAAAGAACAGGAAGAAAAAAGAATAAAAAATAAAAAAATAAAAATACAGTGAAGAAAATTAAAATATATGAAGAAATTACTTTCCCCTTCATCACAAGTATAAATAATTTTAATTATCACCTCTTAAAATAAAACAAATGATTTCTTCTTCCCACATCCAAATGCTTATTAATGAATCCTTAAAGCTCATCATTTCAGTCCAAATTAGCAAAAATCCATTAAGAGTTACCAGTTAATAACTTACCTATTTTAACCTTGATTAAATAAACCAACTTTGTATTCCTTCCTTTTACTTTTGATTTTTGATTGCTTCAAATAATGTCCTAGAACCTGATTTCTTTTCACTTCTTTGTCTCTTCTACAAAATTCTTAAAAGTTTTAACAAGTCATTTTTAAATCCACATTCAGAACAGTCTGTGTTGTGAAATATAACATTCCTCTTTCATAACATCTTTCAAACAGTATGTATAAAGACAGACACTCTTAAAATTATTTTTTATACTCTTAAAATTGTTTAAACATATCCTTCAATATATCCAATATTAAAATATTTTACTTCATCCACAGTAAGTCACATTTAAATGTTCTTCTTTAACTCCAATCTTTGGTACTTTCTAATTCCCTCTAGTGTGCAATCTTCAAATCTCATCCTCTCATGTTTTTTTTAAGAGAATTCAAAACAAAACCATTTTCCCATGAAAATGATTCTGTAATGGCATATGAGAATGACTTTGAGGGAGAAGAGGAAAAGATGCTGCTTAGGAAATGATCAAACAAGGGGGGAGGGGTAAATTGCCCAGTGGTTTAACAATCAAAGGAAGAAACTGAGGAAGGAATCCACCCTGTTTGATCAGCTGACTAAAAATGATGGTGGGAAATTTATATCTTCAGACTTGCAAGATTCTGTTAACATAGCCTGACAATAAAGTAGAAGTAACTCATTTAGTCATGTTGCCTATCTGGCTTACCTGGGACAGTCTATAGATTCCAAAATCTTATTTCAAATCCACCTGGACCCTTAGTCCATTTGTAACTTTCCAAAATCAAAGTTCTGTTCACTTTTTTGTTAATTGTTCCAAAGGATTTTTTTAAGTCCTTAAAACAGGGGTCCCCAACTCTGGTCTATGGACCAGTACCGGGCCGCAGTATGCCAGCAACCAGTCTGCACAAACAAAGCTCCATCCGCGAGATTCAGGCAGCACACAAAACCACACACTCTCTGGTCCACAGAAAAACCTCTCTCCATGGAAGTGGTCCCTGGTGCCCCAAAGGATGGGGACTTCTGCTTTAAAAGGAAACTCAGCTGGTGCTCTAAAACTTCCCAGTCCAAAGGTTCCTAATATCTGAAAAGCAGTAAACAAGCAATATCCAATGTGATAGAAAAGGAAGTATGCAAAACCACTATCCTTTTTTAGGGTGCCAACTGCAGTTTCAGCAAGATGGTTACTCCTTCATCTCTCAGGGGTCTAAACCTTAAAAACTTGTGGTCCCCTCATAAGGAGCAACTCTGTGAAGAACGTGAGCAATCTCCTTGTCCAGAGAAATTACAAAGAGCTGATATACCCACCAGCTCTTCATTCCATTGCAGTCATCAGCCCCAATTTTAGTAGAGCCATCTTCAGTTTCTTATTGCTTCCCTGAAAGTGCAAGTCTACCAATTTAACTAAATGAACAGTTGTAAGTCAAGGACCATCTTTAGTCCAAATCTGCCCTGCCACACTTTTAAGGAGAATTACTGATGGTGGCTCTCCCTACAGACTGCTGAGAGGGAGTTGGAATGAAACTAAAGGAATCTACAATCACCACCCTTAAATTATCCTACAGTAACACTATTAAGGGCAGGACCATTCTCAAGCCTTGTTAAGTGAGCCAGGCTATGGAGTAGTTGCTGGAGAAGCACAAATTATATCCACAAATTATATCCACAGAGGAATCCACATTGCCATGGCTGTGAAAAGCACTGTTCTATATGCATCATAGTGTTCAATCCACAATAGCTAGGTTCACAAGACATACAAAACCCCAAACCACATAGCATTTATTAAAGTAAGCTCAAACTTGCAAAGTGATTTTATAGTTTACAGCTAGCTAACACATCAGACGCACTTAATCGCTAAGTGCCTCATACTTAACATGACATTTTTAATCCTTGGCAGCCCAGGCTAACCGTTATAGGGGAATGTGCTATACATGTCATCTTGAGTTCCTGCATGAAAGCCTGAAATGATCTTTGATGTTTAAAAAAAGACTGGGGAAAAAAAATACAGCGTTCAAACTTAGGGCTTTTTGTCCTATGGCTGAAAGCAAAAGGTCGGCGGCCACTCGTGCTACCAAAATGTGAGCGAATTGTGCAGCTTGGCTGCAGACAGGAAGTGGAAGAACCAGCATCGCCTCTCCCTGTCTGGGGAATGTGTGTCGCGGCTTCTGCCAACTGCTGCCGGGGTTTGGTGGTGATCTAGGGGAGGCGAACGGACAAACACATCACCCAACAGTAGACCCGTTTTTGCCGTGTACCACACCATAGCGGGGCATAGGGAGGCAGGGAAAACAGGAGCAAGGGAAGGGATTTTATAGGGATTTTAAAGGGATTTTATAATATTAAATTTAATACAGGTTATTTAATATATATTTTAATTTGGCTTTTAGAGATATTTATTGTATTATACTGTTTTTATTTACCTGTAAGCCGCCCTGAGTCCCTCGGGAGAAGGGCGGGGTATAAATGGGATAAATAAATAAATAAATAAATAAATAAATAAGAAAAGACGATTGAAAGGGGGTATCATCAATATCGTGCGCGCTTAGCAGACTGAATAAGAAGCCGCAGTTCATCGGGAATGTTTGAGAGGGTTAGAGAAGAAAGAGCTTCGGTTGTGGAAGATTGCGGCTAGGTAAGGGCGGGCCTTGTAGTAGATGAATGTTGCCAGAGACGCCGCAGTCTTGCTACCAATGGTACCGGCAGGGCGAGCACGTGCAAGGGTAAAGATGGCGCTTCTGCAAGGCGTCCTCGCCATCTTCTTCCTGCCTCCGCCTTCTTCGGAGATGTAATTCTAATTGTCTGCCGTTGTACAGAATAGAGTAGCAACGTCGGGAAAAAGGACGGACTCTTCTCTTACATGGCGCAACTGAGAAGGCTTTGTTCATTATTCAGCTCCCTTTTTTTTCTACTCTGCGACAAGGACGTGGTGTTTAGGTGCCTCTGTCGGAGGCTTGCAGACTGCAGCCCCCAAAAAAACGCAGCCTCTGGTCGTCATCGGTGCCGCAGTTTTTCTCCGCAGGATAAAACTGCGATCTCACTTCGCCCCCGCTCTGCAGCTCTGTTATTTATGGCTTCCGGAACATTCCTAATGCTCTCCATCTTTTGATCCAGTTTAATAATCTTTGCCCACGTGAGCGCGCAGGTTTCTTTCTACTAGGATAGATAAAGGGTATTTTTCTGAGCCGGTGGCTTCGGCGCCCGATCAGGCTGCAGATTCAATGAGCAACAAGCTAACTAATACAAAACGCAATTGTTACTTTATTTCTTTTCCTCAATTGCCCATCCTTACAAAATTCTCCCTCGATTCCGATGTCGGGAGGAAATGCGGAATGAACTTAGATTGAACCTCAGTTAAAAAAAAACACACGTCGGTTATTTGAACAAATATGCAGAAGCCTTTGCAGCTGTCGACCATTTGTCTTTTCCCCCACCTAATTCCAGTAAGACTTGGAGCATTACAAATGTCTGAATACTGCAAGCAACGTTGCATAATTTAAATTCTACTTTAAAAGTATATCAGACTTGCGTTGAAAAGTGTAAATGAGTAAATTGAGGTGGTG